TCCACCGAATATCGTCCGATAACCTCTTCATTTTAATCAGTAAACTAGTAAAATCAACAAAGAACAGCCTACGAACACTAAAAGCGATTTAAAGTGCGCGCGCTTGTCAGTGTTTGTCACGCTATTTATTTTTCAACTGTTTCGTTGTAATTGTGAGCTGAGAAAGTTAAGTAAACCGAAAATAGTTTTTACAATAACTTCGTTTTGTAGTGCGATCACAAACCGTAGGAATTTAGCCCACAGACATACATTAACCATGGTTTTTATACTTGGATAATTTTACCCGCTTCAAGCTGTGCCAGGTTACCAAGTGATCGAGTGAATGACGGTCGAGTGAAAGTTTAGCGTCCGAAAAAAAATTCGAGAGTTCGCACTCATTTGAAATCGGGTGTAAGATATATGACTTTAAAACATCCCGGGAAAACAGTCATAATCATTCGGTGGATTTACTTTTGATTGTTATTCTTAATGTTTGATTGTGCATGTGCAGCHAAGAAGTGTGATGACCTCATACCAGTTGGGATGGAGAGCGGAAAGATTCCCGACTCAAGTATTACAGCCTCTTCTCAATGGGACAGCCGCTTTTACCCAGGTTAAAATGTGAAATTCTTTGTAAAATCTTATTAATCCTTCTCGTAGAAATCCGTAACATTGCGTAGATCTCCTACATAACAACGACAACAACAGCTTGTTTTTCGCAATGCTACTAAAATATTTCGTTTCGTAAAAAAGTCCGACATTTTGACACGACTTCGTACACTTCATTTCATTTGGGGGCTAKTGTGTACATGCTCCAGATTCTGCCTCGATGGATTGGCTTTAGGAACTCTTCGTCGGTCCAATGAAAATGGCACCAGGAGATTATTTGCAGCTTTTATGGTGATCAATAAGTAATGTAAAGGAAATGTAAAGGACTTTTAGTATTAYGAGATAAAAAAATGAAACAATTTCGAATTCCCATTAATTCCCAATTATCGAACGTAACACTGCCCCAAAATGAAATTAAAGATTCCGATAAGTCCTATCGGGAGGCTTAGTAGAAATTCTTAAAGAAAATTAGACACAGATGTATACACTACATAATATATTGAGCACTCAAGTACCGACACGGGACAAACATACTTCCATTACTTTATCTTACACTACTAGTTAGAGTGGTTTTTATAAACCCGTGAGACAAAGTGTAATAATTAGAGTGTAATATAGATCGTAATAGTCGCGTAGAGACAATAAAAAACAAAAGAGCCAAAGTATAATAGCGATAAATACGCTAAAGTGTGTTTCACGGGTAATGAAAACCGCTCTATAGATGTCAGAAAAAGTGTAATTTATAGTCTCAAGTTCATCCAAGAATCTTTGCATCATTCTGCATCATCGATTTGGAGCCAATATAAAATCTCCTGTTAACAAGAGAGATCATTTGTAAAACAAACAAACAAGAAAACGATCGCAAAGGCTCTTGGAAGCACGTTGGTCTTTAATATATGTTCCGATGAAGGGCTTATGTTCGAAACTTCAAAAAGTCACTTCTCAATACTTTTTACGGTGTATAATTTATCTTATTTAACAACTGCTTCTTTAAAAACACTAGTAGCTAATTACATTAGTTTAACGCTGGTTTCCATAATTCTTAGGTAAGGTTAAACMAAATTCCTCGTGTTTTAATTATTTTTTTTTTTACTTCTAAACCATTGTTATCATATTGTTATTCTTATTAGGCAATGGAAGAATCAACAGCAGCTATTGCTGGGGACCGAAACAGAGTAAAGTCGGCGAATGGCTGCAAGTCGATCTTGGCGAAGTTTGCACGATAACAGGCATTGCCACCCAAGGTCTCTCGAGGCATCCCGCGTATGTGAAAAGCTATAAACTGCAATACGGCAACACTCCTATCAACTCTGCATCTCCCTTTGCTGAAGCAGGCAAGATCATAATCGCTGGAATAAGTGGTGGCAATGATGTTGTAAAGCACACCTTCATCACTTCGTTCGATGCCAGATATGTTCGGGTCCTTCCTCAAAAATGGTATGGGGAAATTCTCCTTAGGATAGAGCTTTACGCTGGTTGCTGAATAATCGGAAAATAATTCTTCCAGTTTCCAACTCGTCGACTTCTTACTTTCTTTGATCCCAATGATGTTTTTTCTTTTTCCTTCTTCTTCCTAGGGGGAAGGGGGCAGGGGTCATAATTAATCGTTAAATACCTATATTGCAATTGCAATTGCAATTGCAACTGCTTTTGCTTTTTTTATCTTTTTCTTTTTTTTTTTTGATCAGTGGATCACTGCAGTTGATTTTTGACCATTTCTTTATTACCTCGCCTATAAGTTAAGACTTAACCTTTTACCCATGTACTTGATTTTGGAATCAGTTAAAGAAATAAGATGGAAGTTTTAAACGATGSCATTTTCAGCTTGCTCTTAGTTAYCATGGCCRAAATGTTTTAGGTTAAATTAAGAGGCAATGACAACACTAACTTTTAAAAGTCATAACATTTTTTTATCGTGATGTTATCACAGATAACTATATTCGTAGGACACTCCTTTGTGAGCTTCAAAGTAGATGAAGCAAGGATTATGTATTGAAATGATTGAATAAATAATTAGAGCCGCTGCAATATTTGATGAGCAAGAATAAAT